CAAATTTCATGCCAACATATAAAAGGGCCCAAAATATTAACATCTAGATCTATATTTGGTAAAAACCCTAAGGGCATGAGCAAGGGCATAACCCCAAGGATGGATCTTAGGGTAATTATAGTATATTAATAATGTAATAGTGTGTTTTAAGAACCAAGCAAAATTGTTGCGTTATTGGTTGAACCCGTAGGTTCTTAAATTTATAATAATATAATAATGATATATTTATTAAATTAATTAATTTGAAAATTAAAAAAATTGAAAATTGTTTAAACTTATACGATAAAGATAGAAACATTTAAATTAGAACAATAAAGATAGAAATATATAATTATAAACAATACATAACAACAACATAACAACTTTATATATCTTTTTAAACAAAACACTAACAAACTTTATAAAACAAATAGTAACAAATAAAAGACAATAAAGATAAAAATTATAAACATAAAAGGTAGAAACATATAAATTTAAAACATAAACTTTAAAAAATACAAACATAAAAATGAAACACAAAACTTGTCACATATTCATTACCTGGAAATAGACTACTGATTTAAAACATTAGAATTACATATTAAGAAGAAGAGAAATCGAGAGAAGAAGAAATTGGAGATTTTGTTTTTTTTTTCACAAAACATATTTTCTTTTCCAAAAATTAAAACCCTATCAGAAGACCACATGTGGCATAAGATTCGCCTCTCAAAACATCTTAAATAAAAACCGAATGCTTCTTAGAAAAACACTATTTGGATTAAAAGGATTTTTTTTATTGTCATAAGACCCGGCGAGATATGGGGTTAAACATGGCCTAATAGCACACGTTTCTCAATGATTCTCAACCGCACTTCCATTTACGCCCACACTTCGACTTATACTATACACACTTAATTTCTCAACGACTAATGAAGCTAAAAATCAATAGTTTTTCTATACAAACACAATTTAAAAAGTAAAGTATGGTATAGTGAAAAAAATAAGTAGAAAATAAAATACGAACGAATTACTCATAAACAACATAATAAACTCCCGCGCGTAGCGCGGGCAACCGACTAGTCTCTATTATATATATGTATATTTACTACACCATATCAAGTCTTCTTTTGTATAGTATTATGCTTTACAATTGTTAATAGATCAGTACTCGTGATGAGAAAAAAGGCCACTTACCCTCAGCTTGAAAAGTTAGAAGGAGACATGGCCGAGCAGAAGACCATCGCCCTTCTTCAGCATCATCTAAAACCCACAGCCCAACACTTTCAGTCGTTCCATAAATTAGCCTCGCATCAACCACACCTGATTTACTCTAGCCTTGTAATTAATCAGATGCGTACGCCATAGCTTATTCTCCAAAGGTGGTGAAATAATAATATAAGTTAGTTATATTAAATCAAAGTAAAACTAAAGTGAAAATTATATTACATTATTGTTTTGTGATGTGTGGTGTGTTTTATTGTTTATTGTTTTATTGTTTATTAAAACACACACAATTTACATCAGAGAGAGATCAAAAATGGAATGAGAAATAATGGATTTATTAATCCGTTAGTGAATATCTACATTAAGCATCTTCAAATTCACGTTTTTTTTTTTGGGTATATTTCTCCCTGTATGAGCTTATATATATATATATACTAGGTTTTGACCCGCGCTACAACGCGGGAGAAATAATTACTTATATATAAATTTTAACGGATTTTAAAAATAATATATTTAACCTTTTACTAAATTTATTTTTTTACGGATTAAAATATATTAAATTTTAATTTTATTACAGTGCAGTCGATTACAATGAATCATATATTTGTATAATAAGTTTAAATAGATTAGCAAAAAAAATTAGTTTAAATAAAATAATAAAAGGAAAAAGCGAGTAAATAATAATATCTTGAGTTTTGCTACAATTAAAAAAAAGGTGAAAATTTTATAGAACGAAATAATATTTATCGATAAATTATTCAATTTGACCATTTTTGTAGTAGAAGTAGGAATAGACGTAAAAATTATATACTACAATATATTTTTTGAAGGACCAACCCGTAATATAATTCATATCGTAAAAAACATTATTCACAACTCGCTTTACCATTATAATTGTGATTTTAACAAACTACCCGTAAACTATCTAAAATTTACGTAGTTTGATATATAATATTTTATCAATAAAACTTATGTCTCCAAATTTACATCTATGTATTGAAAACAATAGTTTTACTATTTTAAATCTAATTTTTTATATATTTGAACCTTTTAATTATAATATTTTGAAACTTTTTAAAATTTTAAATATGCTCATGTAACAATGATTTTAATAATGGTCATATTTATAATGATTTTAAATCATTGTCCAAAATATTTAACTGAGTGTAATTGAGTATTATATGTCCGTTTTGAAAAATTCAAATTGCAATATATGCGAAAAAGTTAAAAAAAAATTAAACATTTTTCATATTTAGTATAATATTATAAATTGAAAATAAGATCAAATAAAAGTGAAAGAAGAATGATAATTTTTTTTAATATATTCTATTAAATTAGTTAGAGAAATATTAGGAAATCCTAAAATTAGTTATGGAAATAATATAATCCTAAAATGAGATATGGAAAGTATCCGATGTATGTATCCGAATCCATTTTAATATCCAATTTTGAAGTATCCAATTGTTAAAATCGGGTTAACTTTTTTAATTTTGACCCGACGCGCATTCTATTTTGTACTTCTCTTTTACTAATATAGAGATTTATAGTGGCTTTGTAATCTTGATTTGAGATCATTGAATTTAGCTAAAATACACTCGCTTAAACCAAAACTTATCCATTAATTAGAATTATATGATAGATTATCTGATGGGAATAAAATTTTATGGGCTATGCATTTTATACTTGGGAACCGTTTCTCTTTGAAACTTTTTTTTTTTTTTGCGTTTAGTTACATTTTGCCAAAGGGAATGAAAGTAAGAAATCCCATTGAAACTAATAGAGCAACTATGATGATCAGAACATTAGCGTTTTATAAAGGCATGCTAACAGTTTCTCTTCTGCTTCTGTGATTCTGTCAAATGAGACGGATGTAAAGTTATACAGACGGTTGTTTCTTTCTTTCTTTCTACTAGTAGTAGATGATGGTGGCTTGGTGAGACAGTACAAGGTGGTCTTGAAGAACAATGTTTCACTGCTTCCATAAGTGGTACACTGTGGCTCTGAGCTGCTATCAAATAAAAAACCAACCAGTTCACGAAGGTAAAGTGATGCACGCCTAGATGTAGTGTAACACGTATTACCACACTTCTGTAGCGATGTTGCAGTGGATGAGCAAATGATCCCTAGATTTAATTGAAGAGCAACACATATGTAGTTGAGATGTTTATGCCCTAGTTTATAAACTTTGCTAGGATCACTTGTAGAGTTGGAGTTGGTTTACGTGAACAGTCCAGGAAGTACAAGCGTGTTTAGGCACCTGGAGACCATCCCGGTTTGGATTTGAAATTTTAAATGTTTATATATGTATTAAGTTAAGAATTTAGATTTTTTATTTATTTATGAATCTTCAACTAAGCTAAGGCAATCAGTTTGGGTTCAGAATTCAATGTTTACAAATTACAGGTCTAAGGTTTAAATTATTACTAAAAGCTTAATTGTGAGCTCTAACGTTTAACTCACGTATCTTTCAATTTTTAGTTTCCATCTTTTGTCTCACAAGTCGCAAGATTTAAATTCTGTTCTAGTGATTTTGCTTCTGTATTTATAGTCCTATACCGATATACATCTAGGCTAGCTACATGTAAGCATACCTTCTCTAGAACAACACCAAAGGCATGTAAACAAGCAACTTTATTTATTTATTACAACTTTAATTAAAGAGTTAATAGGTAAATTAGTACATTTTTTGAAAATAATTAGAAAACACATACATATACTATTTATAATTAGCAAACTAGTCAGTGGGGTCTAGGGAGGGTATTTTTTTTTCTCTTTACCGATTTTGTTTTTTTTTTTTGTTTTTTGTTTTTTTTCTTTTAAACATCTTTACCCCAAAATTATAATAACTAAGATATTTGGTTTTACAATTTTTTTTTCTAAAACTTTTTTGATACACAAAAAATCTATGTTTTTTTCTCTATCATATGATATGCATTTTGTTTAATTAATTTTAAATACATTTCATATATATATATTTATTTGTACAATTTTGTATGTGTACAGACGTACTTGTACAATTTAGTATGTGTACAGACGTATATGTACATCTAATTAGATGTACATACATAACCGTACAGTTCCTTAAGTGTACGTATGTATAAAAGATTACACATTTTTATCCATACAACTAATATAATATACCAAAATATGCATATTTATGTACATTTGTACAATAATAAGTTGTACGGATGATATTATGTAGTACAATAATAAACTATACGGATAATATATTTTTGTACATCTGTACAATAAATGTGATGTACGAATTATATTATTTAATTATTATAGTGGCAAACTTGTAAATAATATGTTTTCTGAGTGTTTAAATGTCAATGAAATAGTATCAAATATTAAAAATGTACTAGTTTCCTAATTATAAATAGTAAATGTATTAGTTGTATAATTAAGTTTCTAAAATGTACTAGTTTGCCTACTCACCCTTAATTAAAAGTAATGCATTCTATAGTTCAGAGAGATCCTTCCAAGTTCCAAGAATAGAAGTATTGTCGTGCCTTTTCTTCTTCTTCACTGTCATTGTAAATATTGCAATGAGCTCGTGGATCACTAGAATCATTTTTGTTACTCGTAGGTTTACCAAGTTCTTCAACGGTTTTACAAATGGGTGGATTATTTGCTCAAAATATCTTTGGATGGATATCCCAAAGGTACACAAATTTTGCTCATGATAAAAAAGAGAGAGTTTAAAATATCTAAATAAACAAATGTTTACAACAATTATCGATTATGTTTCGAGTTTCCTCAAAGATATAAACCAATCAAAATACAGTACACAAATATAAGCACAACAATAGTAAAGGAACAAATGTTGCTTACACGAATGGATTGATATAAGCACAACAACGCTCATTATAAAGTCCTAAGAACTCCCCAGCACAGCACTTCCATAAGCTTCACATCTTCTACATGGTCCATTAAAGTCTGAACCTTCATCAGATCACCGGCATCAGGAACAACAACTCCTAACTGGACTTCAGCCTTTCCGACTGTGTTTTTCACCACATTGTAATACACAATGAAGAAAGGATCATTATCCAAATACTCTGGGGCGAACACGATATCACCTGCACCACTCATCCCCACAACATTCATCTCCTTATGTTTCCCAACCAGATTCTTCCAGGAAGACGGCAACTTGTAGACATGCTTCGACCATTTCTCGTTCTCCATATCATCTAGAATCCACAGCTCAAATCTTGTAGTTTCACTGAAAAAGATAGTCTCATAAGGGAGAACGGCAGCTAACTTACCTTTGACATCTATAAGAGTTGACCTCCAAAGCATAATGTCCACATCAAGAAAGGTGAACTTCTCTAACGACATATCAAAACAAACTAGCATAATAGGTTTAAGACATCTAGGGTCATTGCGCACAGCTATATAGTACATAAACCCATTGATGCATATTCCATTAGATAAAGACGAATGGGCTACGGAACTTTCAACTATTCTCCACGACAGTTCTCCCCTTCCTAATGTCATAACTCGATAGTCGTCCTTGGACTTGCGCAATACCTTGAACAGTTTACGGACCGGCTCATATCCAAAGTAGACATTCACAGTACCTCCTCCTGATGCAATCTTCATCTTGGGTAAAGTGATGCACTGCCCAGTGCTTGTGTTACAGATCGATGGATTCATATCCAAACTACAGACCAATCCGCAGACAGGACGTGAAACACCACAAGAAGCATCTTCAGTGGGGAAACTCATGCGACGATCGGCAACTAAAACAGACGAGCTGATCTGGTCCTGAGGTGCGGAGAGGAAGAGACACTTACCGTTGACTTTGAGGTTGAACAAGAGACAGGGACGAGTCGATGATGTTTTCAGGTACAAGTCGGTGAAATCTCGACGGCGGAGAATGTAAGACCATTGCTTGGAGACGCAACGGCACCTTCCGATGGATTTCACGGGCAATCTCGAGAATACTGAGATGAGGAGATCAATTGGTATAGACCTTTCGGAGATGCTTAGGGGATTCATCTTGGGGACTTGATTCTCTTGTGCCTCCATGACGGCACATGAGCTCTAGAATCACACTAGGACAACAATATCTATTTGCCCTAATTTTTATGTATGGCTGTCAGAAGAAACAAAGGGCAAAATCAGACAAAAAGACAAAAAAGATAAAAAATCATTTTGAGATAACTCTCTCCACTCATCTCCACCATTTATTTCTAAGTCACCGATTCTGATTTAGCCATATAAAATTTTGTTTTCCTTGCTTATCATATTTAGTGTTTTCTTAAATAAAAAATAGTTTTTTAAATGGGTATTATATATTTAATTAATTATTATGATCCTAAAACCTCTTTTGTAAGTTGTTTAAAATATAATTGTTTCAATTATATGGCTATAATACTGAAATCAATAAAAGCAATTGAGGGGTATATACTTATCTGGTTTCATTTTTTTTATTAACTTGAATCAATAATTACATGATAATTATCAACGAGCATACATATACTGTTGATATACATCCAATATATACAATAGAACAAAATATATAATCGGACAAAAAAATGAACCATGTAAGACTTACACGCTAACAGACTAACAAATCTATTATTTTGTTTGAGATCTATTAAAAATGAACTGTGTCTATAAATAATCTATTAATTAATCTATGTCATAAATTTGAGTTGATTTTGTTGTTTCACTAGATAAAACTCCGATAAATTCTTCAAACATCATTGGTAATGAACTAATGACATTAGCAGACGAAATATGAAACCCAGGATGTGAGATCGCCTAACACGTTTTGGGTAGTGACCACGTTGGAGATAGTTGATATGCAATGGATGTATACGATTCAACATCTCACTGTCTAAACCACATACCAATCCGCATACAATAATCTTCAACTATGCTAAGGTCACCACTTTGGGTTCAGAATCTAATTGTTTACGAATTTAAGGGTTTAAGATTTCGACTTTGTTTTACTGAAGGTTTATGAGCTTGGGCGATTAATTAAGTCACGTATCTTTCAATATTCGATTTCCATCTTTTGTCTCACAAGGTTTAATTATGTACTCTAGTGGTATTTATAGTCTAACACCGACACATCTACAAGTTAACATAACTTGCTGTCTTTAAAAGTTTAGAACAACATCAAAGACATGTAAACGACCAACTTTATTTATTACATCTTTAAAAGTAATGATTCTTCCGAAGAGATCTATTCAAGGAATATTTAGTGTTATCTTGTTACACTTACTTGCTCGCAGGTTTACCAAGTTACAGTTTAACTGTGCGAATGGATCAAATTATTTGTTCAACATAGTAGATATATCTCACAAAGATACAAACACTACAAAAATGGCGTTTTATAGCACATTAGAATAGCATGAATCTGAACAAACTTCTATTAATATGGATATCCCGAACTTGGGTACTACATGATAGCATTTTATTAGTGTTGGACCGTAATTTCATTAAACGATAACCAAAAACTGAGTTTTAGAGCCTGTTTTGCTAAGTCCAATATTTTACTAAGTGTTCTGTACTAGATAAAAGTGTATCAGGGAAAAAAAATCTAAGCTCTAAGTCGCTTCCACCGAGAATCTCATCACTGACCACAACAATCTCTATCTTTGTCAGTGTCAAATTCCTGCTAATAGCGGGGTCTTTCGACCTAGATCTCATTTGAAGGTCAGTCTCCTCCGTCTTCCTTAATTGGTTTCTTTCATAGATTTGTGTCTTTCGACCTAGATAGATTTCCTCCGCCGGCCATCATTTTTCTAAACTTCTATGTTTTTCGAGCTAGTTCTTCTTCAGCCTTAGTCTCGTTCAACACTGTTCTCCTTCAATTGCAGGAGGATGAGCACAGTAAAAGTACCACACATGATTTCTGAATCTTAAATTTATCATTTTCATACGCTTCTATTTGTATATTGGCTAGTTACTTAGATCATATTGTTTTTAAAATCATATATTATAGTTTTTGCTGTAGAAGGTTGATGAGAGAAGAACACACTAGTGATTAGGAAATATTATATTAACTCTCATAAAAGATATAATAGTGATTACAACTGTTTATATAGAGAATAGAATGATAACCATATTAACCTAGTTTCCATAAATATAAACCATAGTAATTATTAACAAATATACTAAAGAATATTCTACATATTCTGGATCCTTCTATACGCCCCCTCAATCTTAAGGTGGGGATGGAGTGAAAGCGGAAGCAACGGCTTGAGATTGACTGTAAAATCAAAGTGTTGATGGAAGAGATCCAGTTGAGAAAAAACTTTTTTTCTTTTTTTTTTCCATTTTTTTTTTTTTTTTTAGAAACGAGATCTATTTTTTTTCTTTTTCTTAAAAAATAAATAAAAAATAAAAAAATCATTAAGAAACAATATTACGAAGCTCATGGCTTAAAAAAAAAAGAACTTTATAAAGTAAAATAAAAAAAAAGTAAATAATAAAAAGGATTCTTTTTTTTGTTTTTTTTCTTCTAAAAAGAAAATAAAATAAAGAAGCATTTTAGCTTAGATTCAGAGGTATATGTCATAGACGTGAATGAAGAGAAGCACAATGGCTTAGATCCAGAGGTTCATGATGAACTTGAATGAGAGAAGCACTTGGCTTAATAAAAATAAAAGATAATGAGTTTGACTGTTAGATCAAAACTCGTGAGCAAACCTGCTCTGATACCATGTAGAAGGTTGATGAGAGAAGAACACACTAGTGATTAGGAAATATTATATTAACTCTCATAAAAGATATAATAGTGATTACAACTGTTTATATAGAGAATAGAATGATAACCATATTAACCTAGTTTCCATAAATATAAACCATAGTAATTATTAACAAATATACTAAAGAATATTCTACATATTCTGGATCCTTCTATATTTGCTACATAAACCAAATAGCTTGTGTTATTTTCAAAACCTGATTTGAATTAAGATTTATTTCATGATGATTTTGTTACATCTATTGCCTAATTTGTTTTTGTACTTGTTTTTGTTTCGTTAATCAAATGTTTAGAGTCTCGAGACCTTAAACTATATAAGCTAGTATGTGATTTTTTTTTTTTTTTAATATATGAAAGACAAAGGGTGTGACTTAATCTACATTGAGAAGATCACGATTCACGAGCATATAAATATCACGTTAGTTTATTATAACTTCTTTTCGATATTTATTATTCAGAGGTTTTGAAAAATATTATATTTAAACACAAGGCAACAATATTCATGTATGTCATAAAAGGGTCACCGACATTGAAGAACCCTAGGGTTCCAGCTGACGATCACAAAATCTTTATATTCCCTTAATTTATTTTCATAAACTTCGCAGCACCTTTGAATATCTAACTAACGTATATATATATTTGGAAGAAGTCTCCGATCTGTTAAAAAATGTAAAATTATAAGGTCGACTAATCTGAAGAGATGATGAGAGATGTGCATATATAATTGAAGACTACTGATTCCCAATAGATAGTGTTTAAAATGAAAACAGATATAACTTAACAATAATTGATTTGAGTAAGCTAATAGCTATAGTAGTGTTTAATGTAAGAAGAGCTAGTATCGTTTAATGTAAACAAGAGCATGGACGGAGTAACAAAACAAAAATGAAGGTACATTAAAGAAATTATAACATAGGCATTTATAATAACTGAACAATGGGAAACAACACTGATAAAATATGGACTGTCTTGTACTTATAAAATAAATTAGAAGAAAAAACAACAGCATTGATCTAAAGTTTTTATGAAATTTGAATTAATTGCTTACATAATAAGATTCACATTCTCGACATGGTTTACGAAGGTGTAAATGGATTGACCGTTAACAGGTCCAAGCCCTTGAATTTCAACTCTGTTGGTAGACTTTCTCTCTATATCCAAGTAAAACAAGTAGAACGGATTCGACAAGATGGCCGGAGCAAACACAACTTCAGTGGTTCCATTAATCATCCCAACAATGTAAACTTTAGTCTCCGCAACTAGCTCCTTCCACATAGGCGGAAAAATGTGAACATGTCTTGACCAAATATGTTTTTCGATATCATCTATAACCCATAACTCTAAGCTTTCAGCAGTTCCATCCATGAAAGTGGTTGGTTGAAAACACATTCCTCCTAATTTACCCTTGTAATTTATTAAAGTTAATGTAGGAAACACAAAATGTTGGTTCCTGATAAAGTTGAACTTCTCCTCCTTAACATTAAAGCAAACTAACATATAGTCTCTAGACTCATAATCCCGAGAAAAGTAGTATAACGTCCCTTCTATGCAAATCTCCCTAGGATAAGGGTAGTGGTCTACAGAACACTCAAGCATTCTCCATTCAAGTTTGCTAGTTCCTAGTGTGAGAACTTGAAACTCGCCAGCTTTACCCGAAAAGGGCTTTTCAAGAACGGTCATGCACAATACCTTATATTCTTTTCCTATTGGATCATACCCTAAATAGGTTACAACATGACACCTCCTCGATCTCACTCTGGGTAGATATTTGAATTGTCTTGAGCCTAGGTTACAAATCATCATCCTTTCCTTGCTATGACCTAAAGCCCACTCATCTCTCGTACACAACAATCCACGAACAGGGACACAAACTCGAAAGGGGAGAGGTTTAGGGACATTCATATGACTATCGACAACAACTACACGGTTGGAATTCATGTTGTGCCCAGGTGAAGAGAAGAAATACCACGTACCCTCAGCTTGAAAAGTTAAAAGTAGACGTGGGCGAGCAGACGACCTCTTTAGGAACACATCGGTGAAAAATGGGTCGCGAAGAAGAGAGTTCCAGTTGTTGGCAACGCATCGTGACTTGGCCACAGATTTGGCAGGCAGTCTGGAGAGTATTTCGACAATGAGATCAGTTGGCAGCTGCGTACGAGACTTTTTTACTAACCCATCCGTTGAAGATATGGTTAGGGGAGCCTCATCACTGGAGAGGTGCTCCTTCAGTTTTTTATTGGCGGACATTGAAATCCTTTTGAGCTTGTACCAATAGACAAACACAACAGCCACCTATGGTTTATATATGGTCTTCCAAGATTTTACAAAACCCTTAACTACAGTCCACTAGATTTACATGACAGCTGCCACCTTTTGGATTCTTTTCTATTTCTATTTGTTTTTGTCTTCATCTCTTTTGTAATCTAATCTTTTTTTTCCTATACATTCCTTTTGTAGTATCTTTATTATTATATATAAAGATTATTATCCATAATGGGTAGTAATTTTATACATAGATATGTACACTTTATACATATATTTATACATAGATATATACTCAATCATACCATTGCTTTTCTGCCATTATATATATATATATATATATATATTGGGTTAAATATTTATTTTTATTTTAAGTATTTACCCCCAAAACAGTATAGACCGTATGTGTTTTTATTTCATCGATCAAATATTTTAACCCAAAAACTGAAAAAAAATATTTTGAAAACAATATAAACGGCAAAATAACGGTTGTACGCTAGTAAGAATTTATATTATACTTATTTAAACGAACTATTTTCTGGCAGAAAGAGTTTCCATCCTCTTTACAAAAATATGTTGATAATTAAGTAAAAAACATAAATTCGTATGGCCAATACAGAATCAGAGAAAGATATACACCTCGTGGATATGAGTGGAGAGAATTACTTTGACAAAATCTTAACCGGATTAATTTGTTAGAAATGTAAAAATGTTAGGTCGACCATTTTGAAGAGATGTGATTAAGTGTATGCTTCACAAAAGAAATGCAAAGTAATGTCCCAAAAAAGAGCATGTACACAGAAACGAGACAAAGATGAAAGTAATCAAAGTAGTTATAACAAAGTCATTTATAATAACTGAACAATGGGAAAAAACTCTGATAAAACAACGACTGTCTGAAGAGTCCATGATATTTTACTCATGAGATATATTAGGAGGAAAAATAATTGCATTGATCTTAAGTTCTTGTTTTATTATTTTTTAACAACTTACATAATAAGATTCACGTTCTCAACATGGTTTAAGAAGATGTAAATGTTTTGACCTATAATAGGTCCAAGCCCTTGAATTCCAACTCTTTTGATAGAGTTCCTCTCCATATCCAAGTGAAATATGTAGAACGGATCAGACAAGACGTTCGGAGAAAACACAACTTCACTTGTTCCATTAATCATCCCAACAACGTAAACTTTAGTCTCCGCAACTAGCCCCTTCCACATTGGTGGCAGTATGTGAACATGCCTTGACCATGTCTGTTCTTCAATGTCATCTATAACCCATAACTCAAAGCTTTCAACTCTTCCATCCATAAAAAAATTTGATTCACGATCACGACAAATTCCTCCTAATTTACCCTTGTAATTTATTAAAGTTGTCGGAAACCCAAAATCTTTGTTCTTGATAAAGTTGAACTTCTCCTGCTTAACATTAAAGCAAACCAACATAATGTTTCTAGACTCATGATCTGTAGCTAAGTAATATAATATCCCTTCGATGCAAATCTCCTCAGGATAAGGGTAATGGTGTACTGAACATACAAGCATTCTCCATTTCAGTTCGCCAGTTCCAAGTGTGAGAACTTGATACTCTTCTACTTTAACAAAAAGGGACTTCCACGAATTGTCATGCACAATACTTTATATCAGGGGCGGATCTAGAAAATTTGTTCAATGGGGGCAAAAATATAGTAAAAAAACTATCAAATACTAAATTATAAAAGACATAAAATTGTCATGTAAAAATTTTAAAACATCTTCCAAAACCACTCAGACGCTCATTTAACAATTGAAACCTTTTTACCACATTTTCATTTGTGACAGATTCAAATAATTAAAAACAAAAAAAATGTTATTAATTAAAAATTTAGAAAATTTTGAATTTATAGACTTATATTTTAAAATTTATTAATTTTAAATTTTTGAATTATGTAACAAACTTCCATAAAAGCTTAACCATAGAATAAACATATAAACAATTATCACTGCAAAAACTAATATAGTCATGTATAACATAAAAACCTATATAATGTTTTCCAGGAAACATAGTTATAAGCTTGAACTGATTAAATAAAATTAACTGACTAAAAAATAATGCTTATATAATAGAAACGATTGTAAAAAAACAGGAAAATAAACTCACAAATTGATAGTTGTTGATTTGTTGTCACACAAAAAAACCAAATGACTAAAGAAGAAGAAAATAACAAAAAATTAGGTCTAGATTAGTAAGTCTTTAATTTATATATTAATATATATTTTTTTGGTACATGGATTAATGGGCTTTCCAAGAAAAATGATGAAAAGTAGTTTTTTTGGTGGGGACAGATTTTGTTTTCTAATAATATTTAATAATTTTTTAATAATTTTTTTTTCGTTTTTTTGCTGGTGGCAGCTGTCCCCACCACATTGGCTGTGGGTCCGCCCCTGCGAGTTTATATTGTTGTTCTATTGGATCATATCCTACATAGGTTATAACATGACGCCTCCTCGATCTCACTTTGGGTAAAGATTTGAACTGTCATGTGCTAGGGTTGCATATCATCATCCTTGCGTCCTTCCTACCACTTAAAACCCACTCATCTTTCGTACACAGCAATCCACAAACAGGGACACAAACTCGAAAGGTGTAATCTTTAGGGATACTCATATGTCTATTGACAACTACAATATTAGAATTGTTGTGTCCAGGTGATGAGAAGAAAGACCACTTACCCTCAGCTTGAAAAGTTAAAAGGAGACATAGCCGAGCAGAAGACCGCTTCAGGAACATGTTGGTGAAATATGGGTTATGGTAAAGAGAGTTCCAGTTCTTTGACACGCAACGAAACCTCGCAGCGGATTTCGCAGGTAGTCTGGAGAGTATTTGGAACATGAGATCAATTGGCAACGTACCAGAGTTGTCTCCTAACCCATCCTTTGAAGATATGGTAAGGTGAGTACTCTCGTCACTGGAGACGTGCTCCTTTCGTTTTTTCATGGCGGACATTGAAACCCTTTTGAGTACCAATAGATAAACACAACAGCCACCCTATATAGTTTATATATATGGTCTTTAAGGATTTTATAAACGAAACCTTACGGGCCACTAAACTATCACAATTGCCACCTTTTGGTTATATGTTTTATATCTAGCACTATTTTTTGCTTATCTTTTTTGTAACATTAATTATCTTCTTTTTCTTTAATTTTCTTTTGCAGCAACGTTATTATTATTTTATGAGAAAAAAGATTATTAGCTATAGTTAGGTAATAATTTCATTTATATATTATTGCCTAGTTATACAGTTGATTTCGCGCCTTTTTATATATTTCCAAAATATTAATTTTTTAAAAAAAATTTGAGTATCTTGCAAAATTATCAAATTATTTCCCGCGAAAAGTGAATTATGTTATAGTAAAAGTACTAAAATTGAAAAAAGAAATAATTAGAAAATGATATCTTCTATGTTTTATAAAGTGTCTTTACTTTTTTCTTGATTGTCATTTTAAATTTTTAATGTGATATATAGTCTCATTTTAGATTTTTAATTTGATAGTATTATAAACAGTAACATTATTCATTTAAGGATTAATTGGAAAAGTAGTACATTTTAAAAACATAATTATAAAACTAATACATATACTATTTATAATTAGGAAAGTAGTACATTTTCACTATTTGATACTATTTCAATGACTTTTAAGGACTCTGAAAACAGCTTATTTACGAATATGCCATTAGAATAATTATATAATATAATTTGTACATCATATTTTCTGTACAGTTGTACAAAAATATATTTATGTACAATAATAAAAATACTATATAATATTATATGTACAACTTATAAGTGTACAATTGTACATAAATATTCATATTTATGTACACTTTTTCTAGCTATATGAATAAAAATGTATAAATTTTTATATTTCCGTACAATCAATAAACTGTACGTATACATCTGTACAGTTAATCAGATGTACATATACGTTTGTACATATATTAAACTGTACAAATACGTCTGTACACATAATAAATTGTACAAATACGTCTGTACACATATTAAATTGTACAAATACGTCTGTACATATATGTTTGTACATATACTAAACTGTACAAATACGTCTGTACACATACTAAATTATACAAATAAATATATAAATATGAAATTTATTTAAAATTAATTTAGCAAAATGCATATCAAATTAAAGAGAAAAAAACATGGATTTTTATGTATCAAAAAAGTTTTAAAAACCAAAGTTATAATCCCTAATATTTTAATTATTAAAAATTTGGGGGTGATGATAATAAAAAAAATATTTAAAAAAATAATTAAAAAAAAAAAGAAAAAAAAAATTGAGAGAAAAAAAAAAAATTCCCTTTTGTCATTTTCCCTCTTCTTCTTTATCTCTATTCACTACAAAAAAAAAGTTGGCTTACATCATTTATTTTTAATATTTGTATTAGTTATGAGTGATGTAAAAAAAATCTACATCACTTAAACAAATGATTCTAAAAATGCCGATGCAAATAATTTACATCAGTTAATTAATAACTGATGTTAATATATAAAAAATTTACATCGATTATTATAATTGATATGAATATGTGTCATTTAAAAAAAATGATGTTAAGTCTTACGTCAATTTAATTAAATGATGTTAGTATTAGTATCGATTAAAATAATTGATGTAAATTATTTATATCAGTTATAAATAGCCGTTTCTATAATTAACATAATTAATTTAAAAATAATTAAACAAATAAATTAATTTCGACTAGAAAACAAATATTATTTTAAATATTATTTACTATTATTAATATATAGCTGGTAAACAAGATTTTACCAAGATTTTGTTTTTTAAAAAACAACGTTGCAATATCTTGTAAAATCTATTCGAGTTTTTACAAAATACATGAAATGAACAAATAAATCTTCTTTTACAACAGAAAATCACAACTGAGTTTTAGTTTCTTCATCTTCCTTCTTTTCCATGCTTTTTGCTTCCATTAGTTTTTTTTCTTCTTGAAGACTTGTGATCCATTGGATGATATCATTGCACTTGAAGTTTCGCTCCATAGAATTTTGGTTAAAAAAAAAGGATTAACTATTTGAAAACTAATAGAAATTTTTGGTGAGAATCAAAATTATCATTTGTAAGTAGATTTAGGATAAAATGATAGAATACCTTTATTTTATGCTTCTCCAAACTGTGCAGGAAAACACACGGTCCCAAACAATCAGTTAAATGCATCTTTAAACTGATTTTGGGCTGATCTTAGAATTTTTCACCATAGATTGCAGAGAATAGAAGAAGAAGAAGAAGAATGAATGATGATTAAGAAAAGCAGAAAAACAAAGAAACACCTCACTTTTTAAAAGGTTAAGAATTCAACAAGATATCAAAAATTAAATTGAAGATATTCTAACATAGAAAAAAAAAGATGGTGGGCGTAGAAGAAGGGATTGTGGGTGAGAAAAAATAATAATTAATTATTTGATTTTGAGGTAAAATCAGAATTAATAATAATAATATGGTTATTTATTTTAAAAATAATAAAAATTTAGCGTCATTATAACAATTAAATCCAATTAGTTTTTTTAAAATAATTAAAATACTTAAAATTAGCATCACATTAGATTGATGTAAATTTTGTATCATTTTAAAAAGTGATATCAATAAAATTAAGTGAATACATCGATTATTTTAATTGATTTAAATACATATTCTAAATCAATTTTTTTTAAGTGATACAAACTAATACAAATTTGAATCAATTTGAATTAACTGATGCTAAACAAGTTAATCAACACATCATTTATTACATTTGATGTTAAATTATTTAATTGGTGTCATTTGCTAATAAGTAATTTAAACTACTATCAATAATATTTGTGATGCTATTTAATTGATGTAAGCCAACCTTTTTTTTGTAGTGATTTCACATAATCTCTATCTCACATTGTAGGTCCTACGACTACTTTCTTAATTTTGAATAGTGTATGTATTATCTTTACAATTATGTTTTTAAAATGTACTAAAATTCCAATACACCCTTCATTTAAAGTATATAAATCTTTTCTTTTTTTGCTACGAAAAAGTATAAGTATATAAATCTTATAAATTTGGGTTTTAGTTCATTCCAATATAATTGGTAGTTTATTAAAAAATTAAAGGTATTATTATCACATCTCAAGAAATTAAGAATTAATACAGCAAAGCTGGATTAGAAGTTTCACTTATGTTTATTTTTGTAGGTGGTTGCGAATCATATATCAACAATATTAATGATGGTTTAAATGGAAATGGATGTGTCGATTACCGGGTTGTAATAAGATATTATCTATTGGGTCACTAATTAAGTTCAACGACATTGTCACATTGGACATGTTCATACAAATTAAAACGTTGTTCTAGTGTATTAGTAAGCACTAAGCCGTAACTTGGCTAAATTAGGATGTATATATACATTGTAGAACAAGCAACCCCTATTCATTTTGTTGGCAATGTAGAGCCCATAATGAAACTATAGAACCCTTCATAACGTGTCTGTAACTTGGCTAAACATTCTTCCACAAAATATATGCAGTACTACTTCGCATATCTCATTTATATAACTAAATAAACTGATTATAGCGATTAGTGCTAGTGTGTCAAACTAGTGGTGGAGATGTCAATTAAATCCAACTAAAAAACTTGTCGCGTTTAGGTAAGCCAGCAGATTATGTTGAGAAAGTGTTATAAGACAACATACTTGCATTAATACACTACAAACAAATAAAGGCTTCTTAATTCGTCAAAAAAGCCGAATACAAAGTCATCATCACTCTCTTCTTTCACCTCCTGATCCTAAAGATGACTCATCACAAGGAGAACAAAATAACTAAACCAGTAAATATTAGCAGTAATTACAATTATGAGGATAGTAAATACGTATAGTAATTTGGTAAAATGGTTAAAGGAGAGAAGAATAAAATACCTTCTTTTTCTCTTCAGTTGTTGTTGCTAGTAGCAACTTGCTACATACATAAAATTACGTGCGTGCATGCGTGCGTGGTCACTATTTATTAGGGTTTTTGAACTTGACGGGGGATTATATTTTGAATAGGCACGTGAGTATCATGTGCGGCCCAGACAAAATTCGGGACTGGGATTTAATGGTCCAGTTAACACACATTAACTAAAGTATTTCCTTGCAATTTCTTTTATCTTTATTGGGTATTTAAAGCCCAATCAAAAGCCCAATTGTGCAACGAGAAGACAACACACCCGAATCGTCGTCACCACTCCCCACCGCACCGTTCCCTTATCCATTTGGCTGACGCAAAATCGTATCGGGAACCTAAAATCTCCAGAAAACCATGTCTCCTCCTCCTCCTCCTGCTGTAGTCACTGAATCCGCCGATGGACAACCTGATCAACCACCGGCTGCTTCTGCTACCATTGCTGAAGAACTCGAGGAGAAGCTTCAGGTGAGTGAGTCTTCTTTAGACGGTTTTACATTTCTTTGTCACGATTTTTGCTTCTTAGCCTCACGCTGGAGGAATTTTTACAGACCGATGAACCGATTGTAGAAGATGTTAAAGATGATGAAGACGATGATGATGACGATGATGAAGAAGAGGAAGACGGCGACGCTCAAGGTGATTCTTCCTTCTTTTTAGCCATTTCATCACATTTCAATTTCTATCTCACCCTCCTAGTAAGTTTCTTGATACTACTTAAGAAATGGCGAATTGTGTTTGAGTTTCAATCTTCACTTCTTGCGTCACATCCCTAAAATGGACTGAATAGTTATTTAGGAATTGTGGATTCTAAGCTGAAGTAGTTTTTGTTAACGTATCGAGGTTTGGGAGGTGAATCATTTGATAGATTTATAGATTTACTCAACAGAACTTAGTGTAGTAGTAGATCACTATATGTTTATAACAAAGTGAATCGTTCTTCAAATTGAATGAAGTTTGGTTATTGCAGGTGTAAGTGGGAGTTCAAAGCAGAGTAGAAGTGAAAAGAAGAGTAGGAAGGCCATGTTGAAGCTCGGAATGAAACCAGTCACGGGTGTTAGCAGAGTGACCATCAAAAGAACCAAAAACGTAACTCAACAACCGTTCTCTGTTTTCTCTCTTAGTTAAGAATATTTCTGCGTGTAAGATTCTAATGATACAATACAATAATGTTGCCAGGTACTGTTCTTCATCTCAAAACCCGATGTCTTCAAAAGCCCGCATTCAGAAACCTATGTTATATTCGGTGAGGCCAAGATCGAGGACTTGAGCTCTCAGCTTCAAACGCAAGCTGCTCAACAGTTCAGGATGCCTGAAATGGGAGCCACATCTCAGAGAGCAGAGGCATCAACAGCCACAGTAGAAGCACAGGTGGAAGAAGATGAAGAGGAAATTGATGAGACCGGTGTGGAGGCTCGTGACATTGACTTGGTCATGACTCAGGCTGGAGTTTCACGTAGCAAAGCGGTTAAGGCACTCAAGGGTCACGATGGAGACATTGTAAGTGCAATAATGGAACTCACTACTTAAGAGTCAAGCAATAATGAGTCTCTCTGCTTCATTCACTTGCAGACTGTTTTCAATTACTTTTGGAGTTGTCAGAAAATCGGATCATTGTTGTCCTTTCGGGTATCTAGTCCCATCTGTTTGTTATGACTCTTATGCAGTAAAGGTTTGAGAAACTTCCTGATTTTAGGATTAGGATACATATCTTCTAACAAATAGACAAAGTTATTGGTCATCATACTAACTTGTAAATAACGTTCGAGCAGAGGACATAAGCATAGACGTCCTAACTCCTAAAATCATTTTCTGTTTCTCTTGACTGCATGTTGAATTCGGCGAGATTCCCGCTGTTTTAAACACAGAGTTTTCTAGAATGGATTCTTATAAGTTCCTTTTTTCCGAGGACTTGCGGCTTCAGCCATACTTCAAAACTTAGCACTAGACCTTAATTGGTTCTCGTTTCGCACTGAACATGATCAGTGAAGAATACAAGATTATGACAAAATATTCCCGCATCTTTATATTTCATTTTTCGTGTTATTATCTTTTTGCAAATTAAAGATATATTTAGGAGGTGTATTCAAAGTGAAATTTCAAGTGATTTGTAAAAAGTTTACAAATTCTGTGTTATTCAATCATGGATTTTTAAAAGTCTTATGAAATCCACTATTATTTAACTAATTATTTTAAAATCCACCTTAAAATCCGCTGTTATTGAAAACAGTTTGTGGATTTGATTTTAAATGATTTCAAAGGATTTCAGAGGATTTCATGAAACTTCTTTAATTAAAAATACAAGAATCCAAATCTCAAAGTTTTATGTGGGATTTGAAAGAATTTTACATAAATTATATGAAGTTCCCTAAAATCATCAAAATCTCAATAAAATTCAAATCTCTTAAAATGTTACTTCCAATACACCCCCCTTACTTTTCGTAGTAACCATACATTTATAAAAATTCATAATCTGGTGAGTGATGCGAGTCCATGCATTTCCTTTGCGAGTGAGTTTAGATATATTTTGTAAATGACTTTTTGTAGAACATTAAAAGAGCGATTCTACTACTAAAAACTAGACCATATTTTGAAATCAGTAATACCACTTTACGCAGTTTCATCCCCTATCATACACAACACACGTTTTCATAAATGGCGTTCATGTTGTTCCACAAATCCTTTTTATTTATACTAACAAGCTTCATTAGAGGATCGAATTACTTCTTGCCCACGAGAGTTCCACTACTCAATCATCCTTGAGGACATGTTCCCAGTCCGAGGCTGGGCTCTCGTAGCCTTTTCCGGATGTAGATGGTTCTGTTTCGCCAGCGCATGTCTCTATCGGAGAATTTTCAGGTACTGTTAACATCGAAGCTGACCAGAGATGATCACACATTCGTTGCTGGTCATTGTCTGAATCTGAATCCATATCCAAGTTGTTGAGAGATTTCTGCACTTGCTCAGCTTCCCTGCGTTTCAGTATCTGGAATCTATTCATCACGTCACCCACGTGACTGCTTCTGCCAATAATAGCCATCTCCGCTTCTGGATTCTCCTCCTGGTCACCGATATTGGTCTCTGGGCAGTTTTGAGTCTTGAGTTTGCGATTTGTTTCCTGCTGCTTCAGAATCTGAAACCGGTCCATAACATCAATGTCTGAATCTGGGTTCTTCTGAGACTTGAGTTTGCGCTCTATTTCTTGATGCTTAAGAATCTGGAACTGGTCTATAACATCATTATGTTCGTTCTCTGTAGTGGATGCAGGGAATTCCTGTCGTGTCGCATCTGGTATCTTTCCAGAGGTTGCAGCATCATCAGGCCTTACGTTTCCATGAATGGTGTGTTCGAAACCACCAGTAAAGCTTTTGGACATAAGCGATAATACCGCATCCACATGATCTGAGTTGAATCTAGAGCTTTGTGGTGCGTCATGACTCATTGTTACTACATTGTCCCCACAATTGCTTCCATGTTTGATGATCGATCCAGTTGTCTCCTGCTCTTCATTCGCAGAGTTCATGATGGGAACCGATTTCTGAGGGTTAAGAGAAGGTTCCTGCATAAAGGTTTCTGCATCTGCAGAGATCTCTGGGAAAAGAAAGCAAGAACATGAACGGTTAAAGAATAGGTACAGATGTGCTCCAAAAATAAATTGCAAAATGATGTGCAAGGTAAGTATTTCTAATTGATCTATAATCGGGTTAAATCCGATCCATAAAAGAACTACCACGTGCCATTCTCAGAGAACGAAACAAAAGTGGTCGACTACAGATGATTTACATAAATTCGTAAAGGACCCGAGAGAAACAGCATACTGATCGGCAATCTCTACTGTCATTTTTAGTGTTTAACTGCATGTGGATCTGTTATAAGTACTTAAAAATAGCAGTAGCATCGATGACTGGGTTGTGGAAAAATGCACTTGCAATGCAGCTCTAGTCACTAAAAATTTCAAACAGATGAGACTGTTACTTTGAAAGTTACCAACCTTTATCGTTAAATCTAAGATTACCAATCTCGTTCTTGATCTGATGATACCGAGCCATGCAAGTTGTGGAACATAAGGCAGCTTCAGTTTCGAGCCAGAGATTCTTGTACAAGAGAGTTTGTGGGTGACTTTCTTCACCATCAGGAAAGTTGGAAGCAAGTATGTTCCTAATACTCTGCAAAGTTAAGACTCATTAGGTAGACTTTAAAAAAGATGCAGATGCACACAAATACTATGTACGTGTAAGGTGTAGATACCTGGGTCATCTCATTCTTATCCACCGGATTTTCGACGCGAAGACTGTCTAGTGGCTTGACATTAGAGCCTTGAAAGCCTTTAACAACTTCCTTTGCAGCCTGAACAAGGACACCGTTAAACAAGAACAAGCAATATGTTTCATTTAACAAAAATTAAATAGGTCTCGAACATGTACAAATAAAGACTTAACCTAGGCTCATAACATGTAAGTACTCTTGTTATCACAAGTAGTGTTCTAGATCACAAATACATATTATCTCACAGAGTATGCAAATTTTTTTTTTCTTAACTTATTAATCACAAAATCCCGGGGGTCAAACAGCAGCATACCTCAGGAAGGTCAACCACGTTTGGACAGGTAACATTCACAGCTTGATTTGGAAGTGACGCTTCCCCTGCAGTTGTCTTATCATCAGTAATTTTCTTCAAGCACTTGGTGAGATTATCTACTACTTTATCAAGGTTCTCAAGTTGCTCCAGCTTCAGCCAGCTTCCATTGTTAAAGCATTCATAAACAAGCACTTCTGACAGATTATGCATAGCATTAACTACGGAAGAAACTCTTGGAGAAGAAGTTGGAGATGGGAAATCTTCTTGATCACATAAGTGCCTTTCAGGTGATCTGCCAGTTGAAACATCATCTGCAATTGATCTACTACTCAAATCGAGACCCAGATCTGTCAACAATCTGGTCTTCTTATCTCTATTCATTATATCAAATGTTTGTCCCTGGAGCCTACAAGGCTTTTGGTTGGCGGGAACATCTTCACTAGGTTGATTAGTACTACCTTCAAAAGGGAGTTTATAGTTGACAGCCGATTGAGCATTCTCACTATCCACTTTCACTGCACCACGTGAGTCACTTCCCATAGAAAACATCGTCGGAGCTGAAGGTCCCTCAGAAGACACCACGAAGTGGCTCCAAGATCGAGGCTCGTCACAGTTTAAATCTTCAATTTCATTCTTCAAGGAGCTCTCAGAAACACCATTATCACTGTCCGCAACCAAGGTATAAGGCCTCTGACAAAAGGAGGAGACACCACTACCTTCCAGTTTATCCGTAATCAGTGACACCGAGGATTTGATATCAGATGGTAGCGGGTGGGAAGATTGTGGACTTCTCGAACCTTGCGAGCCAACTATCCGATTGTGAAGATCTGGATTCTCGGGTGAAGGCTTGACATGACCAGTAGCTTCACCATATCCAAGCAGCACATCAAAGTTAACTGGTTCAATCGAAGAACCATGCAAGCTGGATTGAGCTCCAGCAATATTCTCAGGTGCATGACTATAAACATCACTGTTGCTAGGGAATGATCTTCCATCTCCTAAATGAATCCCAGTCTGACTTCCATCAAAGACAGCTTGTGTTTTCAAATTTGACATTGGCAAAGATGATTTACAATCTGTAACACATAGGTTAGGCTCCACATGAAAACCAGGTGCAAGATTCATAGTTTCAGGTCTTCTATCCGAGCCAGGATAGTAATATCCAGGACGTTTCTCATCAAGAGTATTGCTAGAGGAGTACACACCAGAAGACGTGATAGGCGTAAAGAATGGTTCCTGAGAATTTAGGATAAGCATATCTGCATAAGAAGACACAGGAGCTAACGTAGGTGAGTTATAGGTAGGCAACAAGCTCAAACGTTGCCTCTCCGAGAAATTCTCAGTGGGATGTGACACAAAATCAGATGATGATTCCCTTGAAGAGTAAAATCCACTCGGTGATAACATGTCTTTAGAAGAATCTTCACCCATGCGACCATAATTTCCTGCAAATACATCCGTTTGAATTAAAACAAAGAACTAAAAAAAAAAACACAAATCAATCAGAACCAACAATCCAATACACACTAAAACCAGTAATACAAGACCATGATCATATCCTAGTGAAAATTTTAAAATCGAACTTAGCTATCAGTACAAAGATCAAACCCAAACGAATCAAAACAGTCTCATCAAACCCACAATTCGAAACCATCGCAGTACCGTTAAACCCCAAACTTGTTTCCAAAAAAGGGAATTCAAATCATACCAGGTCGATTATTGTCAGCGTAAAACGATGAAGAAGGCGTATGAGAGCGAGAAATTTCACGATACGATGGGTTATTCGACCAATCAACCGGCGATCGTTGATAAGAGCCATGATATATCATCGGATCAAACACTTCTTGGGTTGGATCATAGGATTCAACAGGATTCCTTGGCAGAAACGGCGGCGCAGAAGCTGGAGGATGCGGAGACGGAGAAGCTAGCCAAAACGGGTACGGTACTCCGGAGAAACCTCCATAGCCAAATCCATCGGCCATCGTTTTCTCACCAAACAAAACGAGGAGAGACTGGTGAAGAAGAAGAACAAAGTTTTACTGCAGCTGAGTGTTAAGAATGTCAAAGTTTATCGGGATTAGCTCTTAATGGGCCTTTTAATGGTCTAAAAGGAGAGCCCTATAATAAGATTTGTAATTATCTAAACAATTAATTAAAGAAAAAAAATCATAACTAACTTTGTAGTTGTTTAATTATCATCACAGATGAATATAAAATGCAGATAAATACCGGAATGATTAAAATATATCAATTCTAGATCATTATTCATTTGATATATTTTCCTAATCTTATAAGATTACATTTTATTTTTTCACAATTTTAGACCGTGCGCCACTTATTTTGAGCATTCACATATTTGGTCTCCCACGTAAACAAAAACGCCAATCCAACTTCATTCTAAAACATAAAACGCTTAACATAGTAAAATACATAACCACAAACAAAGGCAAAGAGTTGAGGTGATTAAAACCTGTACAACAAGATGTTTCATCATATACAAATTTTCCAGAATATGACAAAGCACATTCAATCTAGTAGGAGAATCTGTGAATTTCCACAGATACTTGGCAGAGTGGCCTTACGGCTTTCGAACATTACCTTTTAGAGACGTTGAGCAAGAAACTTGGCCAAAGAATCAACAGGCTTGGCTGAGTCCATATTCCCTATTTCCCGTGACCGGATTTTGATTCTGGCAAGATAATCAGCTGCAATCCAAGCAAAACTCAGCATCACGGCATGAGTAGACGACTCATCTGGATCTTGCAGCTCCAAAGACTTCGTCACCCACTTGGGATGGTAAGTGACATGATACCAAGCTGAAGCCTTCTTCTCATACAAGATGTTTTTTTCCTCATCGCTGAGATTTTCATGGTCAGGGATTGTTTCCTCAAATACTTTTCTGAACTCTTTCTTTAGGGAATTATAAGAATGCTTCAATCTTTCTTTCAGATCCCCTTGTTTCTTACTTGTGTATTTAGGCATGGACCAGATATGCCCCGTCACAATCTCTTCCTCTTTCTGAACCTTGTATTGCCCGAGAAGACCAATGAGCTGCCCGTCGTAAGAACATTTGTGACGCCATGCCTCGGGGATCAAATCTGCAAATCCTGGTATTTCAAGATCAGTGTCATAAGGGATATCACTTAGGTCTGGGTTTTCCTCTGAGGAAGCTTCTGCATCTTCATCATAAACTTCTTTTACCCTTCTGTAAAGCCGACCCAAGATTTTGTTTGACTTGTAAGTTTGGTAGTCTTCTTTTCCCATGAAATCTGGGTAGAGTTTTGGTTTTAGATGGAAGGGTATTGACACGATTTTCCCAGTCTTTGGGAAATCAACTGCAGTGGCAGCTAATTCTGCCAGTAGCAAACAATCTTCGTCCATGGCTCCATACTCACTTCTATCAGCATGGACGACGTGTGCATTGCAAATTGTACCCAAACTCTCATTTGCCATGTTTCTTGCAAAGAAATCTATTATATCCTGTAACAAAAATAGAACAATTACCCAAGAATTGTTATGCAGGTGACAAGAAAATAAATCAAACAAAGAAATCATAACTAGATTGACAGACGCTAGCAGCACGATAATGCACTTGATAATAACTAAACCGTCACAGTTAGGCATGCCGAAAACTCAAATCAGAATCAACAATATATATGACAAAAATTTATTATATGTCATCATCTTAGCTCCTGCAGACTGGACACAGTATGCTGTTAATAACCCATACCATGCAATCTAAGAGCTCAGAAGAAAGCACAAATAATCGCTACAAGAATGCAAAAACAAACAATCCAGCACTTTCAGAAAAATCAGAGAGATATACTGGAATCACCTATCCATCTTATCTTAAGTGTCATCATTTCAGCTTAAACGGAATAAAAGTGGGAAGTAGAAAATTGACCTGGTGGTTGACAGCACGGCCTAAACTCTTCGCTTCAGCTGCATCATAATGCATGGCCGGAAAGCTTTTTTGGCTGGGAGGGACGAGTTTCTGATCCCAAGCCACAAAGTACAGGTCCCCGTCAAGGTCACTGCCAGAAGCTTCGTTTGTATGGGGCCTATCACCTTTCTGAGGGAAAATGAGGCAGTCATACATGTGATGAAGCTGGGGTACATCAACAGCTTCTAAAATCCTTACATCCCCTGGGTGAAGACAAGGATTTTTAGCAACGGCTACATAGCCTTTAACTACTTGCAGATCTGTTTTAGTCTCCTTAAAACGAGACCCATGTTTAGAGAAACAATTTTTTATAGACGGTTTTGAGACTTGGATAAAGCATTTGCCTTCTTCAAGTATCCCTGCTTCGTCAAGGCAACCCATTAGCCACCTTCCTGAAGTAACAAAAATGCGAGATTTTTCTCTGAGATCCCAGAGTTGTGCAATTCTGACTGAAGACAACATTCCACGTAGATGTGGCTCAGTTTTTGGTTTGAAACCTGCACTTAGCATGATAGCTGCAGTGTTTCCCTGTTCAGCACATGATGCTGTGAGAACTTCAAATGCCACATCTGTATCATCAAGGATGCGGTTCAGTTTACAGAGCATGGATTCCTGCATAGCCCAGAATATTTCATCCGGAACACCTAGTACAGAAAGAAGAGTAATTATCTGGCGATTTAAGAATCCAGGTTGAAACCTCGTCCAGGAACAGATCTCCAAGATGGTATGGTTGGAATTGAACTTCTTCATACTGTCTCGAAGGGCTAGACGGATTCCATCACCTTTTGATGGCCAACGAGCAACAACTCCTTTGAAACCTGCGTAACGTATCTGATAAGCACAAGGGGTGCAGTGCACATCCAACCTAAGTTTCTCCATGACTTCGTCAGCGAGGTCAGGTGTGATTATACCAATTCCATCAGAGAAAACATACCCATTTCTCTCAATTTCTGGAAGCTCGGTGTCAACCTCGTGAAGCATGACATCTACAGTGGCATATGTGGAGGAGAAGCACAGGCCCATCCTAGCAGCACATTTTGCCACATTCTTGTCTTTGAACTTCCCCATCCATGTTTTTATATCTGACACTCTTGTTTTCCCGTCTTCAGCAAAGAACCATGCAGAGCTGTCTCTCAGTTGATTGGCTGAGAATGCGAGAAAACTGTATTTTCTACCACATAGCATAAACCCGTCGGTTAATATGTTCTTCACTCTTTTGAAAATGTACGTCTTCTGGGAGAAAGAGCTTGATGTCAGATCCTTGACAATAGGAGCAACAAAGTAAGAGAGAACATTCGAATTTATGGTCTGCATACTTTCATCCATGAAAGTAACGCGCAAAAATCTTTCAGCAACAGCTTTGTATTTTCTGAGTACCCTGTTGGGGAGCTCAACTTCTGGGGGTAAGCAATAGGCTCTGGTTGGGGTAATCACTAGTCTTCTGATCTCAGAGATATCCTCAGATTTTTCATGACTCCCTAAAAGCTTTGGATTTTTCAGAATCCATTCGTGAACAAGCTTCAACCTCTTGTACGCATCAAAAACTGGTCGTTTATAGGTACAGAGATGCTTGAGAGAAGCTACATTGACATCCTTGGGTTGGTTTCTTAGAAGATCAAAGAAACGTTCAGTCAACTGAAACTGGTTAAAAACCCCTCTGTGCAATACCGAATTTACTAGGAACATAATCTCAAAGGAGATTCCTTCCCTGTGATGAATGCAGAAGAAATGATCTGACACAGGCTCCCCAAAACACGGCTCATCACGGATCCGAGGAGGCCACCTCACACGTTCCTCTTGCACCCTCCGCATCCTTAGATAATCTAACGCTGTTGTCAATTTCTTATCATAGCGAGGAGATATGAGCACTCGATATGAAAGGCATCGACCAATTGCCCCAACTTGAGTAAAATCAGTGGTACGGATCCAAGGGTCATCATCATCCAAGAGATCAAAAGGTACAGTTTCGTATATATCATCATCAGCAGTTCTGTACCAGACACGGGGAGACGAAGCCAACTGCAAAAGAAGCACAAAGCCATGCGAGTTCCTATACTGCCTGAATGTTTGTATGTCTCTCACCAATGACTCCAACTTATAATCACACTTTATCACAGCATGCATCACTGCGTCCTTGAAAGCGAATGCAGTGCTCTTGCTGAAGCAAAACTTGCAAGTGTTGTCAAAAGGATCTACCAGGAAATTGACCCCGTCAGCTCTCCAAGAAACAAGAAACTCATCCCGGGAAACCAAGGTCCCAATCTCAAGTGAAACGCCAGTCATCTTATAAGGTGTAGTCGTCCTTCTTCTCTGGTTAAGGGTATACGGGTTCTTAGGCCCCAAGCTGACTTTTAATGGCTGGCCATCCAAGATGAGCTTGCATTGCCCTGCAGCATCCATGGCATGATTTGTTGATTCGGAAAGTGCGAAATGGACAAATGCATGAGGCTCCACTTTCTTGTAATCATCAATTCTGGGGATATTTGATGTGTCGGCGATTTCAAAATTAGGATAAGACCCAGGGGGAGTCCAAGAATTCTTTAATCTGCATCGCCAAACAAGTCCTACTTCATCTTCAAGGTAATCTGTAAGTTGTTTTGCAGTAGTGGACTCCCCAAATCCACCAATGCTTACTTGTGTCACAACCGAGTTCGTTATGTTTCCCTCTGACCCCATTCTCCTGTAAAATAGAAAATAAAAACAGTCATGCCACTTCAAAAAATCTAAAGAGAAGCTTCCAAGGAATAACCCACTAGCTTTAGAAATCATGATAAGGCATATTAGTAACAGCAGAGAATTTTCTAAGTCTCCAGTAATCAGAAAACCGAAAAACAAAACTAAAATCGAATCGATTAAGAGACAGTATCGAATCGATGATTCAAACTACAAGTTGATCAACCAAAAAAAACTAGGGATTGAATAAGCTTTGAATCAAACGGGAATAAATACCAAATTAGGCTCTCGATACTGAAGACGATATAGAAGCAATGCAGAGACCGGAGAGAAGATTAGTGAGTAGAGAGAGTGACTTCTTCCGTTTTTAATCTCTCTCCATAGTGACTTTAACTATTCTCCCCAGTAAACGAAAGAGACTGATGAAATCAATGTAGAGAGTGACTGAAGACAGACGAAGGGCTTGTTTGTGCTGCTCACGTGCTAATCGTCTTCTAATGGGCTTTTTAAATTTGGGCCTAATTGTGTTTTGAACCACGCCCTTTCGAGCCTGTTTGTTCAATAAGTATCCGGATGTAATTTGCTTATAGAGAGAGAGACTTATTGGTATATTGGATAAGTTGAATTAGAAGACATTGCTTTTTCTTTTATAAGAAACTTTATATGTTGGTATATTTTTGTGAAATTTTACCATGTTTAAATCAAGGGTTAAGAATAAAAAAATCCCTGATTATAAGAAGGCTCAAGTAATTTTCGTTAGAAATTTAATATTTGTTAAAAGTGTTTATAAAGAAAATCTCAAAATGTCAAGAAATTTTCATTTAAAATGAAGCTTATAAAAAATGCCTCAGAAACTTGAAGTGATATATATTAAAAAAATATTTTATTTTCTAAGCTATCAAACTCATCATAAGATGTTATTTTGATTGGTTATTATTTGCAAAAACTTAATTTTCACTGTTGGCTGTAATTATTCATTTTTTATTTTAATAGATATTAAAATATATTTTATTTTCTAAACTATCAAACTCATCTTCAAATTTGTTTTGATTGGTTATTATTTGGAAAACTTAATTTTCACTGTTGGCTGTAATTATTCATTTTTTATTATAATTGATATTAAAATATATTTTATTTTCTAAACTATCAAACTCATCTTCAAATTTTGTTTTGATTGGTTATTATTTGGAAAAACTTAATTTTCACTGTTGGCTAATAGAATTCACATTTCGGAAAAAAGAATGTGATTTCTAAATTACCATGTATTATACATGGACTTGTGGGTTTTTTAAATAAATAGGCCCCATGGACTTGTAGGTTTTTAAAAATAATAGGCCCATGATTATGAACCTAGATAGATACAATTAGAATAAAGGAGTTCGATATTAAAACATGAAAGTTGGAAGATTTAAGAAGTAAGACTAAAAATCTCCTGAGAAAAGTTGGAAGAATGGCGACAATATCTGATCTATCAGATGATTTGGTTAGAGAGGTATTTTCTAGGGTTCCATTGACATCTCTAAACGCAGTGCGATCTACTTGTAAGATGTGGAACACTACATCCAAAAATCACATCCTTGGTAAAAAAGTACCATCACATCAGTTTCTGGAGTTCATGGTTTCAGATTCTAGGGTTTGTTCGTTGAGATTCGATCTCCAAGGAATCCGCAACAAAGAAGATTTGATAGATACATCTATAAAGCAACTAAGTATACCTAATAATCATCAAGTCGAGATATCTAACGTCTATCACTGCGATGGCTTATTGTTATGCGTAGCCAAACACAACTCGAGCCTCGTTGTATGGAATCCGTATTTAGGGCAAACCAAGTGTATCCAACCAAGAAACGATGAATTCAACATATATGACAGGTTTGCTCTCGGACACGACAACAACCATAACCACAAAATCTTGAGGTTTCTTTATGATGGCGAGAGAAACCGAAGAGGTCTAAAAAGAGACATTGATGTCTACGATTTTAGCTCTGATTCTTGGAGGGTTCTTGAGGTCAATCCGGACGGGGATGTACCAATTTATTACAGTGGCGTGTCTTTGAAGGGAAACACTTACTTTTTCGCTCAAGATGTAACAACAGAGGAAGAACCAGAAGTGATGTCACCAACAGATGCATATGATCTGTTGGTAACAGACATTGAAGATTATTTACTCTGTTTTGATTTCACAACAGAGCGATTTGGAAAGCGTTTGCCTCTGCCGTTTAACCCTCCCTCTCCTACATTTGAATATTTGACTCTATCTTGGGCTAGAAATGAGAAGCTCGCTGTGCTGTACAACCACTACGACACATTTGAGACATACGATATTTGGATTTCGACTAAGATTGAGCCCAATGCGGTAACATGGAGCACTTTTTTGACTGTGGACATGTCACTGATTAATGGTTTACCGGATGGTTTTTCGACTAAATTGTCACCTAGGAGCTTCTTCATTGACGAGGAGGAGAAAGTAGCTGTGCTTTTTTTTACTTATGGTACCGGGACGTGTATCAACCAAATGGCTTTCATCGTTGGAGGTGATGGATACTTCAAATCTGTCAACATCGGACTACTTTCGAATTCCCAGGGGACTCGAGGCGAACTTGTGTGCTCCTCTTATGTTCTAAGTTTAGTGCAACTGCAAGTTTAGTCCTTTTCTATTACTTCTAAATGTTGTTTCTTGCTTTGAGCATAAAAAGACTGCTTCTCGTTTGAAGAAATAGGTGATAGAGTTCCATTTTGTTTGAAGACTGCTTCATGTTTCTTGCTTTGAAATCACTTTTTCAAGTGTAATGTTTTAAACTTGGAAGTTCCATTTTGACATCTTGGTTCAAAGATTTAAGATCTTTTTATATTGATGGTATCATCATTGTTTACCTTTTACAGAGTTAGTTTTTTTATTGGCCAGCCACTGTATGTAATATATTAACAGTGAGCTGAATGCTGTTGCTTCTGCAATAATCACCGTTGCAAAAAAGCCACACAGATTCAGCTCAAACAACCTAAAACCATTTCCAGACCTGACTTTTGGTTTCGTTTTGTGTTGGGTTTGCTTATCATTGGTACTTCATTGTGAAATTGTCGTAAAGAGAATATGATTAAACATAACCTTTAATTGTATGTAAGAAAGAACTCTAACCATTGACTTTGATGCACACAACCCAGTTCTAATAAGTCAAAAGTAGTAACTAGATTTCTTGGTCTCTTCTCATCATAAGTTCATAATGTTTACAAACCTAACTACACATGTAAAACTATAAACTGGCACCGGTTAAAACAAAAGCCTGAAACCAACAAAAAAAACAAAAAAAAAAGCAAAAATCCAGGTTCAAGCACTATATTTACAGAAAATTCCAGTTCTCAGGGGACTGCAGATGCTCTGAAGTCAACGGTAAGACTGCAGACTGACATCAAGAACACAACTGCTACTACAGCCGCCCTAAGAAGCCCTCCGTAAGAACATTTCAGGGACGTAATCCTTTTAAACACAAAACCGGTTTGGTTCTTTGATCTCATTAGCTTTCCACAGCCTATCTTCATAGTTTCGTCAACAGTGTCCACAGCCTGTGTAGCATTAACAAGTTAATGTCACGGCTCAATTCAATTTGCTACGTGAAACCACATTCCACTGAAAGAAACCAAGAAATAGAGTAATTCATGGGAAGGTGGGTGTTATTCTCACCTCTCTCTTGATAGCTTTAAGGTCTGGATTCTTCGAGTTACTGCCATTAAGGTTAGTTTGCAGACGCAGCCTCCTTGGGCCATTTCCTTGTGCTATATAATCATTGGTGCAACCTGAGGGTTGTGCCTGTCGACTCCTAATCTTGATCCCCGTTACTGAAACATCATTGCTCATGCGAACTGCTGTGCCCTGCGGATAAGCTGGCGCAATCTGCAATCAAGTAGATTAATAAGAGTTAATTATGATTTCGGTTTTCTTAATGAATATACAAATGATATTATGAGTTTTGCGGAAACTCCTTGTACCTGATCTGGGGTTGCACCATCAAAACCACTCTGCAAAACATACTTGTGCTTCTCCGGATCCTCGTCTGGGCTCTGAAGAATCGAATCAAGAAACTCGGATATATGTGTATTTTCTTCATTTGTACCATACTGAGTCTGAACTTGGAAGCTGTTGGTGTCGTTCCCTAAAAAATTACTCGGGCCAGGCTGAAAAGTGGATCCAAGCTCGCATTGGACTTGAGAGTAAAATGGGGAGAACAGCTTGCAATCCAGGGACTCCAATTCCGGATACCAGTCAAAATCTACAAGCTGCGTGTCAAAACAATAGTATTTAGTTTTCAAACCGACACTAAGACAATCATCTAAAAACTACTACGAAAATCTTGCAATGTCTTCACCTCAGCGGTTGTAGCCTCATCACAAGCGTCACTATGAGAATCGCCTGAGATTACAAGAGAAGATTCTGCAATGTCATAAGGTTTCACGTCTTCTGTTTTAGTGACCTCAGATACTTCAACAGTTGGAGACGAGACAGCAGGTTCAGCTTCATCCGACTTTGAATCTTCTTCTGCTAAATTCAGTTCTTGTTTCTTGAACAATTTGCATATGACAAACGGACTCTGCATATATCAACACAATCACATGATTAAGTTCGATGGCCAGATTAGTTTCCCAATGGTTACACATCTACTACAAGTGTGCATTAATTACCTGGCCAGGATTGGTGCCGCTAAGATCATTCTCGGTGGCACGATACTCATGAATAACCCAATTAGTTCTGGTTCCCTTAGGAGCTCGACCAGCGTGGAAAACCAGAGTTCTCTTCACACCGATAATGTTAGTCTTACTGGTTTTTATCTTCCGGTCTTTCCCTGTCGCCTTCCAGTAGCCTGCGACTGTTGCCCGGTTCTGTCTACTTCCATTGGGATACTTCCGGTCCAATGGACAGAAGAAGAGCCACTCTGAATCTTTTGTTTTGATCACAGAAAAATCTACAACAAAATCCCAGCTTTTAATCAAATCACAGTCACAAAACTATACATTTTCAGTGAGTAAGTCTATGTAATGAAATACCCAAGAACTTGAACTTATATCAATCACATACTTTATCAAAACATAGATTGATGCAAGATTAGTAAAGTTATAACATTTCTAAATCCAAGTCAAAATCTACTGCAAACTGCGATTATCTTAACTCGAATTCAACATATAGTAATCACAGAGATAAAGATTTGAAACAAGTGAAGAAGAAGAAGAAGAAAGGTACCAGGTAAATCCCAAGGCTCCCATTTGCAAATATCGATCTCTCGGATAGCTTTGACGTCGCCATCGTGGCCGTTGATCTTCTTCCGCAGATAGTAACGGATCAGCTCCTCGTCAGTAGGACGGAATCTTAATCCCACTGGTAGTGAATCCATGGATAGAACTTCAAGATTCTGATTCATTGGATGCGGCTTTTGTTTGAAGAATCGAACCCAATTTCAAAGATTCCCAGATACGAATCAGAAATGCTCAAGAATTATTTATATATATCACAGAGATACGATTCGAAGGAGTATCTCACGAAGAAGATAAACAATAAAAATTCTAGAGAGAAAAAACAAAACCCTAAAAATAGATTCGATGATTTTGGTAAAGTGAAGAAGAAGAAGGGAAGATGTGAACTTTGATTTTGATTTTTCCTTTGTGGGGAAAATAATTATAGATGGTGGATAGCAGCGCGTGGAGAGGTTTAGTGTGTTACACGCGCTGAACCAAGTACGTTACGCGTTTAGGGGAGCTAAAGTACGATTTTGCCCTTAGGCGACTGTGGGAGTGTTAAGCAAGAGGAAAGGGTAAAGTTGAGAAAGTGGATGAGATGTTAAAAAAAATTGTCATAGAACGAATGAGGCAATGACATGTGGATAAAGCGGGAAAGGAAGCTTCGATGCATGTCACTGTTGAGTTCTTGGATGTTTCGCTTTCTTGACTTTTTTGGAAACTTGTCTTTTTATATTTATTTCTCTGAATACTTTTAGTTTTTTTTTCTTTGGATTTTGAATGTTTCTCATTTGCTTGAACTCGTAAAGACGAGCATGGAGCACTATCCACGATTTCACTTGCAAGTTGCAGCAAAACATATTCTCAGACTTTTTCGTAAATGATATAAGAATAAGAATAAAATGAGGCTAAATAAGTTTTTTGGACGGGTTTATCACTGTTATTTTTCTATATGTTAATTGTAGTTTATCAAAATTTAAAGGACCCGGTTTTAAGTTGTAGTAGTAGTATACATTTCTGATTTCTCCATCGAAGTATTGTATTATTAGGACCGACTAAAAATAGACTACAAGAGACGAGAGGTCTGCGAAACTTCCATGAGTTTGTTGACCATCATACATACCAACGAAGAGCTTTTCAAATACAGAGAACAGAAACCTCTAAATTTACGCTTACCTCTCTAGTGTAACTCTAATATAAGTTCTTACACAATCTGTATATATCTCTAATCTTAGCCATACCCGATTTGAATATTTCAACACACATGCACCAATAATTACCAAAGGCTCTCCATAGAGATCGGAGAGTAATCATCTATATAACTCTGATCATGTTCTCTTCATTTGTTCAATCCTCGGGTCAACAATAATAAACCGAAGAGAAAAATAAAAATCTTGTGTCAAATTTTTCACACTCCACAGCCTAAACCCAACAAAATCACAAAACAATAAAAAATAATAAATAATGGGTGGCTGTGCGAGTAGACCCAAGGAATCAGACATGAACAACGAAGAAGGCTCTGTTCCTAACAAGCATGTGTCTGAAACCGTAGTAGCCAAGGTACTATAACAATCTAAGGTTTAATAAATATGAAAAATAGGTTTTCTCACAGAACCGGTTTAACCGTTTAATTATTATCTTTTGGTACGTTTAATACAGGAGAACAACACAGAAAGCGGTGAGAAACAGAACCAGACTGAGACCACTGAAACAACTTCTGTCGAAGTTAAGGAGACATCTCAGGTCGAGGCGACCAAGGAAACAACTCCTGCAGCTGAACCAGAGGTTGTAGCCGTGGAAGAGTCTTCTTCTGCTGGTGAGGCTCCTGTAGCAGAAGCAGCACCTGAGAAGGTGGAGAACGTAGCGGCTGCAACAGAAAACGCTGAGGCAGAGGTTGAGGTTGCGGTACCTGCACCTGAAAAGGTTGAGGTTGTTGCCGAAGCCCCGAAAACTGCTGACGCGGAACCAGTAAAGGTTGAAGCTGAACCAGTAAAGGCTGAGGTTGAACCAGTAAAGGTGGAGGCTGAACCAGTTAAGGAGGAGAGTAAACAAGAAGAGAAAGAAGCTGTTATCACTGCTTAATGATGTGATTAAATTTGTGAAAGTATTTTGAATGTTGTCGTTGTTGTTGTTGTTGTTGTTGTATGTCACCTTGATTTGATTTGCTACTACCAGATTGGTTTGGCTTTGTTTGTTCTTTGTATTTCACAATGATTCTTCTTTGATTCAATTAAATATAAATCAGTTTTGCTCCATGAAATTTGCTAATCCACATTGTTTAAGTGAATATGCCATGCGTTAGTGTGTCAAGTTATGCTCCTTTTACAATATACGAACCATATACTGTAGTCGTAATTAGCAGTGTTACGTAAAAAGCCCGATAAACGTAAGCCCACAAAATCCCAACTATTAAAAAGGTTAAGATTTAGAAATACGTACGAAAAAGAGTTTGAGCATGAGAAACCCTAACCCTATGATGAAAGTTAGCAAAACCCCAAGGGAGAAGAGAAGAATAACACTCCCAGAGTCGATGTTGGTGGAGGTAATTGCTAGATTACCATTAAAAAGCATCGCGAGATTCAAATCCGTCTGTAAAACATTGAAATCAGTAATAGACTCGACTTATTTCCGTAATCTCTTTGTCTCGTTGCACCAAAACTCCTTGTCCTCTTGGTCACTCATGTGCGTACTGGAGTATACTGGTCCCATCACAGAACCTATTGGCTTAGCAAAATGCGAGACATGGGGTCTTCCCAAATCCATAGTTTCTTATATCGTGCCTTTTCAACCGTATAAGAATCTCTCTGCTATCTCTCCGGGTGCTTACTTCTATGCAGGTTCTTCCAATGGATTGATTTGGATTAGTCTCTACGAAAGCTACCAAGGCTACACTAATCGCATGTATTCCAATTATAATTATATATCCTTCGTGGGTAATCCTGCTTTACAACAATGGGTTGAAATCCCTCCATATCCAAATAATGTAACAACGCATCCAAATTCATACCGGCCCACCGGTTTGGTAACGCGTGTTGAGAACGGTGTTGTTTCAAGCTTTAAAGTGATTAGGACTTGTATGCATGATCTACTTAGACTTACAGAGAAGGGAATGTATGTATGGAGAGTCTGTGTTTACTCCTCTGAGACAGGGTTATGGACTTTCAAAACACTTCTCTCCTCTAGTCCCTTGTCGTACTTTGGTAACGATTGTAATGATCCAGTAAATATCGACGAGATGCTTTATATGTGGAAAGAAGATAGTGATCCTACTGCACCTAAAGTCCTAGTAGCTCATGATTTTTATGCTCCTGACACCGATGATCAGTGCCTGGTTATACCTCTCCCTGTCCCATATAGTAAACATGTTAAGAGATCTTTGACTACTTCACGAGGACATGTTATCTGCATGGATATACTACATCGACGATTGAAGATTTGGAGACTAAATGTTAACAGCTTGGAGGATGATGAATGTTGGCAATTGTTGACACCCGAAATCAACATGGCGTCTGTCGGAGTAAAAGGCAAATGTTTTCCCATGGCAATTGTGAGAGCTGGAATCCACGAGCTGGAGATAGAATGAACTCGAGTGGGTTCCCGATTCCCTGTCCGAACTTGCGAATGAGACTTGCTAAACGAGAGAAAATTGCTTTAAGTTTTATTTAGTATCTTTTGTCCAAAAATCCGACCCCTTACACTTAGTTTTTTCCCCCTACTTATACTATTCTAACATACACTTAATGACCAGCGGGCTCCGCTCCGTAAATCACGCTTTCCTCATCAAGGCTCCGCTTGACCCGCTGATAGCCCGTTTTGATTCTCTTTTCGAACTCTTGATTCCTTGACAGCATACGCCTAGCGGGCCGGGATCAGCTCCTCTAGTGGGCTTTGGCTAACAGCCCGGCAGCGAAACAGGCCGTTAGCCCGGAATGCCAGTCTCGGTACCCACAGCAATGAATCCATTTGATTCCGATATTGTCTATCTATGGAGTCTAAAAAAATCTTGTTTGGTATCAGGTAACTTGCATACACAAGAGTTTATAGTTCATCAAAGATCAAATAATTGGACTAGTGATGAAGGTTGTTGCCGCATAAACACTTCTGGCGTTAAGTATCTTATAGAGTATATGTATTATAATTACGCCGAGAATGTAACATGGATCATCATGTTACCTCAGTTTGTGCTCCCACGCGCTGGATGGGTTCATTACCCCGTCCTCCAAATTATGAACATCGTTATAAATCAGAAAATTTGTAACTTTATCTAGCTATTATTTATCTACAAAAGGTGTTGTTTACATATATTTTGTTTCATCGATCCTTGTTTAGCATCATGCATGGCATATTCTCTAGCATCATGGAATCCATGAGGGATTAAAAATGATGGATTCTTAAATTAAATCTTCTCTAATGATAAACCTATGAAGAGTTCTTAAGAAAGATTTGTTTGAAAATAAAGTTTTGCGTTTGGTGGTTTGAAGTTTAGACAAGTGAATTTGGTATAATTTTAATAAGTCAAGTCTTTCTCCTCAAACGATCAAACGACATCTTTGCAAGAGCTCGGCTCGCATCTCTCCTTGCAAACCAAGCACCTCCTGGCCCGTATAACATCCTACAAAATCAATACGGCCATAAAATAACCAAACTTTCACTACAAACACAACACTAAAATACACAAAAACCAGTATAGAGTAATCATAAGAAGATGATCTATGAGTTTTCAACAAAGATCTCAACCACTAGCAGAGATTAGTACCAATAACATAATACAACTTCCTTTGAATATTTCTCTAGTACGAAAACAGTAAAAGGATAGATTACTTTGTTAACACAAATTAGACTAATCAGTTAACACAAACCCATAAAAGCATCACTTAGGGCATGGGCATTGCAAGGACCCATTCCTTGGTCCCAATAATTTTTTTATCAATTTTTTTTGTAAGGGACAAATGTTAAATATTTTGGTACGAGCATTGGTGTCCTACGTAATTCGTCCAACGGGAAAAAAACCAATTTTTTATATTTTTATTTAATTTATTTTAATTTATAAGTAAAAACATTTGAAATATTAGATTAATTTATAACATATTAAGAGTGGAAAAAAAGAAAAATTAGAAAGTTATAAAAACCCAAAAAATCGATATGAGAGAGAGAGAAGAAGAGAGGAAGCAGTTTTGATTTTGGGTGCGTCTGCGTTTTGCGGAGAAAAACTGAAACACGAACAGACCCCAAATTTTTTTTTTCCTTCACTAAATCAACAACCAATAAACGTCTGCCATGTGGCCCGAAGGACAGCCATTATTTGTCCCGTTTGAGAGAACGGTCCTATGTTTATTATGTTTTTATCATTTTTTTTTAAATGTTGTAAGGTCAAGGACGAGAGATAGATACGGCGTTGCCCATGGCTTAGAAAGAATAAGTTAACACAAACTAGACTAATTTATAAAATCTAATCAAAGAATTAGTGAACATCTTTACGATTGTCATTTAGCTTTATATAGATGACAGAAAGTATGCAAAATTAGAAGACATCAAATACCAAAGTTATCTGTAAATGTTTTTTTTTTTTTTTTTTTTTTGTCATCGTCTGTAAATGTTTTTTAAAATAGACAAATATAGAAAATAAATAAACAATATTATAAAGTGAAAAATATTGGATGAGATAATTGGTTGATCTCAGTGGAACCGTTTGATTCTATAAATAGAGTAAAATATTTGACCAATTCATCGTCTACTTCTTCTTCTTCACCAACACTTTCGTTCTCCAGGAAAATTTTATTATTATTATTCAGTCCCGAGTCCAAAATTAGGGTTGGTGATTTGCTTCTTCTGTTCAGGTCTGTTTCCTTTCTCTGTGTACATTTCATTACTTCTTTCTTTTTTCGGATCTCATTATGCGATTAAGTCTGCTTGATTGAAATTTGTGCCTGATTTGGAAAATTATCTGTATAGTGAATCAACCTCGTATTGAGGATGTGTGACTTGAGCTTATCTAATTCGAATTTGATTATGTCGATTCAATTTCATGTGATCTGGAAAAGGGAAAATTAGAGATATTGATCAATTCGTTCGGGTTTTGTTTTGTTTTTTTGGGGTTATGCAGAGTGTGAAGACGATTTAGGAGCTTTGAGAATTGAAGTACTTGTGTTCACTAACAATGGTTGGTTCTGCTATTGTTATTTACTTGTCTGCTATACTGGGTTGCGACGGACCAAATCCGTGTCACAAATGTGATTGGAAATGCGAGAATGAGAATATTTGCGGGAATATGTACCGTTGCAAACTAACTGGGTTGAGTCACGTCTGTGACAAGAACTGCAACCAAAGGATTTTGTATGATAACAATAACTCTTTGTGCCGAGCTAGTGGCCTGATATTCCCGCTTTCTTCCGCTGAGGAGCAGGCGGTTAAAGGAGTTCGGAGGAAGCTTGATGATGAGAGTCATGAACCTTCTGAAAGCTGCGTTAAGCGTCGTCGGCGTGATGCGCAGTTTCGTCCTTCTCCTTTCGAGAGGTCTTTTGCTGCTGTGAGCCCAATCTGCAGCCAAGTTGGAGATGGAATGGAGATGAACTAGATCTTTGTTGGTCTTTTTCTATCTTTGTGAGAGGCTTATATTTTATCTCACCTAGAATAACTTCCTTTCTTTTTCGTTTCGGACAACTATGGAATAAGGGATAATATTCATGTGCTCGTCCAGAGAGACTAGGCCTAGCTCTTTGTTTGAAGAAGCACTTTATCTTAGTATTGTTGAACTCTATGTAGTAGTATTTTAACGTAGGAGAGACTTCATAATTCTGCTACTCTGTTCTTGTTTTCATATTATTAGGTGAAGTAGAATAACACGCTTTTTCACATTTGCTTCATCTTTCTAGTGCTATTTGATATTCTCCTTGCGCATGTTTAGTTTGTCCTTGCAGTGTCGAAGCAGCATTTGTTTAGCTTTGTATCTTTTCTTGGTTAGCCTCAACTGGAACAAGATACCATTGTTGATTCCTGTAAGTTTTTTGCGACAGGGTTTTGGTCACAATGCTGAATAAGTCAGTGTATGTTTCTACCAGGTTCTTCAAGACAAATATATTTTCTGGTTTGTCATCCTGTAGAATATTCCCCTTCATCCTCTCAATGAAGAAATGATTGTAACCTATACTTTGTTCAAAATCGGCTTCCTTCCTTTCCCTGATGATGAGCACTGGAACTCCTGAAAAAGTTTTTCTTTTTGTGCAGGTTTCACAATCTTGCTATGCAGGAGAGTTTAATTGCCATTATTCTCTGTACAATGATTTGACTGTTATGTTTCTCATTTTTTCAGTGTTTGAGGAGTAAGTCTAACATTTGGAAGCTTAAACCTTTATTTGTAGGTCCATCTTTGCTTGCGGTTATTGGTTAAGTGATGATCAAGACAGAAGAAGAGGGTGGTAGTCAACCCGCGGACGAAATGATACCCAACGAGAAACAAACGTAGCATATTACATGGTAATTTTAACAGATGCCCAATTTTTTGGTTTACTCGTTTATGTTGCATGCATTTAGCCTCTGTATTACTCAATTACTTGCTATTCATTCTAGTTTCATTTGTCTGAGGATCTTTTTTTTTTTCAAACATCTCTGACTAGGTACAATCTTTCTCAGACATAAGATTGCTGATGAAGACAACTAAGTATCTGATATCTTTACATCAGTGGGACTGTGTGAAAGGAGAGATATTTCACTTTGATGCTTCTTCTCATCTTTTTCGCTTAATGTCATTTCCAATTCCCCTTCAATAGTTGGTGCTCTTCTTTGCATTCCACTAACGATGATACTGGTACGTAGTAGCATACTTGCAAGTTACAACTACTACTTCTTTACTTAATATATCCAGACAGTCTGAGTTATGTAAATCATTGTAAAAACATCAAAATCGTAGTTTTGGGTTAAGGACTACTATCACTGTTCTGAGTTATGTAAGTCCTAATGGTTCCCTGTCTGAAGGCAACAAAGAATACTAAATATCCACTTTATTGAATATAAAGCCAGTTCAGGGATTAGGGCTAAAAGAAACATCGAATAGTTTTGTTTGATCTTTGACATTTTCTTTGTCGAACCAGGACTAAGTGTTGTTCTTCTGTATGAAATCCAGGTTAGAGTGAACCGAGCTGCCACCGGATCATAATCAGAATCAAAACAGCAATGTGTGGCTCCCCAAAACCAGCATCAAGATCCGAACCTAGGACCTTAAGAATATTTATGGTGAATCATCATCTATCTTATCTATAAATCTACAGAGTCCTTCATCCACCTTCAGTGCTCTTGTTTTTATTGTAACCACTAAGCTCATCTATTGAAACAATATAGAGTTTGGTTGATATATGCAAACAAATCAAATTTCTAATAGAGCTTCTTTCATGCTTCAAACATCATCTAAAGTCAGAAGCCTGTTTTGGTTCCTACTGCTGAGAAATGTTGCAAAGACGATAAATGGGCCTTATCAGGCCCAACATTGTGTATAAAACCCAATATGAGATGGGAAGGAGGGAGATAAGACGAGAAGCAGAACCGAAAGAAAAAAACAAAAAAACTCAGAAGTCGCAACAGAAACGAAACGAGATATGGGTGTAGGCGGCGGAGGAGGAGGAGGAGATCAGAGGAGAGGCGGTGGAGAAATGATGGCGATGGCTAGTATGTTCAACGATCAGCAGAATCCAATTCAGCAGTTCCAGGTTAAATTCAAGGAAGTAGAAACTAATTTCAAGACTTGGCTGTCGAAGCAGTCGATTCCGGTGGAAGCCGCCGTCGTCTCAACCATGAGCGGTGTACAAGGAGCTTTCATTGGTGGTCTCATGGGAACACTCTCTCCTGAAATGCCCCAGGCCGGCGTTGACCCTCAAGCTATAGCTTCGATGAAGCAAGCTCAGGTATACACTCCATATAACCCTTATCTCCCTCCATCTTCTAAATAAGTTAATCCAATGTTATTGTAAATTGAGGTGTGAGAATTGGGGTTTGTGAATCTGTAGGCACTTGTGGGTGGACCTTGGGTCCAAGCTCGGAATTTTGCTGCCATAACCGGTGTTAATGCTGGAATTGCTTCCGTCATGAAGCGGATTAGAGGCAAAGAGGATATTGAGTCTGCGTAAGTTTCAGTTCCTTTGATCTTTGAACAACATATGATATTGTAATCACTTTGGTATCAATGTGTTTCTAAGATTTTGTGTAACTTGAGATTAGTCTTACAGTTTACTTATTTTTGCGATTTGGTTTGTCATTGAGAATGAAAGTGTTAGACAGTAATGATTTAACTTAACTATTGCAGAGTGGTGGCAGCATTAGGATCTGGATTTGCGTACTCATTGGTGAGCCAAGGTTTGCAAGGACAGCCCATGAACGCAATCACCACCGCCGCTGGTTTTGCTGTTTTCCAAGGGATTTTTTTCAAGGCAAGTGATCATATCTGAGCTTCTACTTAAGAAACCGTGTATAAAGTATTTGTTCTTAACCCTTATCTTTCTGGTTTCTGTTTCTTCAGTTGGGAGAAAGATTCTCTAAACCGAGCTCCGAGGATCCGTTTTACACACGAGGAAGAACTATGCTTGTGCAGCTTGGTCTAGAAAAATACGAGAAGAACTTCAAGAAAGGACTTTTAACAGATCCCACATTACCATTGCTAACTGATAGGTATGTATATATCTAAAATATCCCCTTCAAGCTTTTGTTTATGTAGCTACTAAAGATGGTGAATTTTGTATCCAGCGCGCTAAGAGATGTGAGCATCCCACCAGGGCCAAGACTTATGATCCTAGACCATATCCAGAGGTTCAAATCCGATTACTCTGCTATTCCGTCGATCAAATATACGAATCTATAAACTTCTTGAATTTGATTGAGCTATTCTCTATTGAGTACAGGGACCCGGAGATGAAGGGCAAACGAAAGTAGCCACTGAGGCTTTTGTTTAGAGATGGTCATCGCAAAAATCTATCTGTTTTGATGGTACAAAATCTTCGAACAGAAAATGTAATGTCTTTTTCATTTTTAGATGCTCATGCTAGGAAGAACTCTTGTTGGATTCTTCGGCTACTACTAGCAATGTTTGATTCTCTTTAAAATTTGTGATAAATCGAAATGGATTATAGGTTCTGAATAATGAGAAAAAATGAGATAAGCTCTGTACGAGCATAAGCTAATTATACATCATAGGTGAATAGGTTTTAAGATGATATGATACAATTTAGCTCATACAAATTTATTAGTCAATCATAAAAAAAAAGCATTCGATAAAATCTTGTTGAACATATAGTTTGGTTGTTGAGTTGATCACTCAAAGTCTCTTTATTAGAGAACAATAAGCGTGACCACGAAATAATAAACTTTTGTAAGACGTCTCTCTTGTCATTGTCGTCATCACTGAAGTTTACATGAATACAAAAATGTCTTGTTTTAATGCGGTTTTTTATGAAGTAAATCAAAATAAGCGTGACTACGAAAGAATAAACTTCCTTAGACGTCTCTGTAATCAACTACAATGCCCTGTTTTAATGCGGATTTTGATAAAAGAAAAGAATAATTTCGATGTTCTCCAAAAGTTTCTTGCTCCAACTTGTTTTTTCCTCTAGTTTATAATGAAAATGAAAATTTGTAAATCTTTTATGGAAAAACTGTTTACAATTTTTATAAACATTAAACTAAAAAAGACATAAAAAAACTCTTTATGTATCTACGAATCTGTAACAACGACTTCAAGAGAGGAGGAAGAGAGACGAGAGATTTGGTCCATGAGAAAGAGAATGCGAGACTGATAGTCACGCGCCTGATCTAAAGACTCGACCTCAAGCTCCGCCAGTTGCGAACAGAGTCTCTCCTCGGCCTCTTCTGCAACCACAGTCCGCCGCCACAGCTGAACCATCTCTTTCTTCATCTCCTCCATTTCTCTCTCCAACTCTCCGTTCCTCCTCCGTAGCTCATCAACCTCTTCCGCCGCCACCGTCACATAACCTCCTCCTCCTTTCCCCATTAATTGAATAGAAAAGTGATATTTGAGGTGGTGTTTGCTGTTTCTTCTGTATTAAAACTTAAAAAACTGTTATATCTCAATGTGTGTTGTGAAGATCCTTTTAATAGGCATCATTTGAGTTTTTGGTCTTTGGGATTGCAAAGTGTCCAGGTTCAATGTACCTTTTGTTCTGTTATTGTCTGGTTGTCTTCTCTCTTTGAAAAGTTACAACACGTGGTGCGTATCATGCATCACTTTTTTTTTTAAATAGCGTATCATGCATTACTATTACAACTAGGTTCGGACCCGCGCTACAGCACGGAGGGAAATAATTACTTATATATAATTTTTAACAGATTATAATATAATACATTTTAATTTTATAGTCGATTACGATGAATCATATATTTGTGTAATAATTTTAAATTAAATAATAAACAAAAAAGCGTGTAAATAATAATACATTGAGTTTTAATGCAATTAAAAAAAAGTGAAAATTTAACGGCACGAAAGAATATTTATCGACAAATTATTCAATTTGACTATTTTGTAGTAGAAGTAGGAATATATGTAAAAATTACATACTTACAATATATTTTTTGACGGACTAACCCGTAAGAATTCATTTTGTAAAAAATATTAATCATAACTCGCTTAACCATTATAATTGTGATTTTAACAAACTACCCGCGAACTATCTAAATTTTACATATTTTGATATATAATATATTTTATCAATAAAAATTATGTCTCCAAAATTACATCTATGTCTCCAAAACAATATTTAAAATATTTAAAATCCTAAATTACATATATATTTGAAACTTTTAATTATAATATTTTGAAACTTTTTAAACTTATAAATATGCTCATGTAACAATGGTTTTAATATTGGTCATACTTATACTGATTTTAAACCATTTTCCAAAATATTTAACCGAGTGTAGTTGAATATTATATGTCCGTTTTGAAAAATTCAAATTGCAACATATGAAAAAAAAAAAAAATTTTATTAACATTTTTTTTATTATATAGTATAATATCATAAATTAAAAATAATATTAACTAAAAGTTATATGTCCGTTTTGAAAAATTCAAATTGCAACATATGCAAAAAATAAGTATAGTATAATATTAACTAAAAAATAAAAAAAAAAATAACTGATTAGTTAGAGAAATATTAGGAAATTATCATTTTTTTTTTTTGGAAATCATAAAATTAGTTATGGAAATAATATAATCTTAAAATTAGATTTGGAAAGTATCCGATGTATGTATCCAAACCCAATTTAATATCCAACTTTGAAGTATCCAATTGTTAAAATCGGGTTAAATTTTCAATTTTGACCCGACCCGTATTTTATTTTGTACTTCTCTTTTACTAATATAGAGATTATTATTTATTTTGTATATTTGTATTTGCACGCAACATTTATACGATAACTCGATCTTTAATCCAATAGTGTTAAGATAGCTTTTATTCATTTATATGGAAATGTATATTAGATTTTTTTTATATATGAAATCAGATATACTAAATTAAAGTAGGAAAATAGTTTATGTAAAACCAAATACACAGAGATATCACATTAACGAATAATAATTAGGATATGCTATTGAGTATATTAACCTTAAAAATATATATATATAAATGTTTTTGGAGGATTATTAATTTATATTTATCTACAAAAATGCAACATAAATAAATATCTCTCTATGTTAATTACTGCATGTACTGTATATGTGATTATTATTACTACAACTTGTGTAGTAATGAATATATATGTATGTTATATCTAAAAATTTGACTAATATAGGAGAAAATCTCATAATCTCTCAGAGTTTGTTTTTATAAAATTTTGCATAATTATCAGAAAACGTATTATAGTTCTGCTTGATAGTTTTTAAAGATGACATATTTATTTTATCATCATCACCATGTTTTAACACACACAAAAATGGTTAGAAATCATGCTAAGACGACGAACCACGTCATGACTTGAGATTAGAGAACTTGATATTCAATTATAGAAAGTTAGAAACCGCCACGTCGTCGTGGAGTAGTATTATATTAGTCTACAGAATATTATTATACAAAACAAAACATTGACGTCACGAATCACGTCGATGTATGAGTGTCATATTCAATTTCTTTGGGCCTCCACTGGACCAGCTCTACTTCTCCGAAGTAGCATATGAAGAAAAAGCCAAAGAAGAAGAAAAAAAATCATGAATGTTACTATTTCATCCAATTAATTTAAAAAATGCCAAAAATGGTTGCGACATGACATTCAAAGCGTGGGTCGTGTGGATGGATGATTACATTTTTTTACACCACACAACTTTGATGAGATCCTTCTCGTCCAGGTTCAATGTATCTTGTTTCGTTTTTCCGGTTAATCAGTATTCGTTTCGGTTCACCTCGGTTTAATCTATGCTAATTTGGTTCACCTTTGTTTGGGAATAAAAAAATAACATTTCGAGACAAAAATCAAAGATTCGAGGGGAAAATGCTCACTAAATTCCCCAACTATTTGAAATTAACACATTTATTCTCTAACTATTTTCTGGGCAAGTTTATTCCTCAACTTATTATTGACTTAACAATTTTAGACATAAAAATAGTCAACGTTCAATGGTTAACGGAGAAGTTAAGTGGTCTATTAAAATCTAATTAAAAAAAATCCCCTAATATTTCCTCCATATTAAAAGATACGCTTTCTACGTGAGACACAGAGATTGAACTGATTTTTTTTTAGGTTTTATGGAGAGTACCATAGGTAGACGAAAGCGAAAGCTTCCAATTCGAAGGGAACCCGGTGGAGCCGACGGCGATGGGATTTTCGACGAGATAGTAGAAGACGAGGAAGATGATTGCCCAGTTATCGTAGAAGATAGCATAGGATACAAAGAGGTAGAACAATGTTTGGCTGAAAATCCAGAGGAAGAAGAAGATGAGCTCATCGATGTTGAAGTCTGCAACAACTTAGAAGACTCTTTTGGGGTTGAAGTGGGAGAAGATGATGCCACTGGTAATAATTCTGATGATAGCGGGGATGATGTTTGGGATGACGAGAAGATTCCGGATCCATTATCAGATGATGATAACGAATATGAAGCTGAGAGACCATTGTCTAATGGAGATCGTTCTGACAGTCTACTTGAATTGCATAAAACATTCAATAATGCAGACGAATTCAAGTATGCACTCCTCAGGTATTCTCTAAAGACCCAATACGACATCAAAATGTATAAGTCATCATCAAACAGGCTTGGGGCAAAGTGTACACAACATGTGAAAGATAAGTGTCCATGGAAAGTTTATTGTGCTTTTGAGAAGAGGAGGAACAAGCTTATGATAAATATCTACGAGGATGACCATCGTTGTGTAAGATCTGGTTACACTAAGCTTTTGAAGAGTGGAACTATTGGGCTATTGTATGAGGAAAGACTTCGAGTGAATCCTAAGATAAAATCTCAAGAAATGGTTAATGAAATCAAGAGGGAGTATAATATGATTGTGAGTGTGCATCAATGTAGGAGAGCGAAGAAGTTGATAAAAAATAAAAGAAAGGCTAGTCATGAATCTCATTTTGCTAGAATATGGGATTATCAAGAGGAGGTACGTACATCTAATCAAGGTTCAACTATGGAGATCGACACAATTCCTGGACCAGTCCCTGGTAGCTTGCAAAGATTCTACAGATTATATGTGTGTTTTGAAGCGTTGAAAAAATCTTGGAAGCAGTCATGTAGGCCCATTATTGGATTAGATGCTGCATTTATGAAATGGGATATCAAAGGCCAAATGTTAGCTGCTGTTGGTAGAGATGGGGATAACCGAATATTTCCAATTGCTTGGGCAGTGGTAGAGGTGGAGGATATTGATAATTGGATGTGGTTTGTGAAACTTCTGAAAAAAGATTTGAATCTTCAAGGTGGAGCTGAGAT